AAATTTGGGAGGAGTGAAAGGAGAAGTTAAATTATTTGATTTACTTAGATTTAAATAACCCAGCAGGAGATAATCGCTGATCACTCAGGTTTCTGTCCTACATTGGTCTTAATTTTTGGATCCTGTCGCTTATCAAGCTGAGTGGTTAAATTGTCTCATCATTCTTCTTAGAGCTGTTTTTACACCCTGGTGAGAGACGTTTCACCTGGGCAGTCATCCTCTGCCATGTGAGGAGGAATAGCCTTCTGAGAAGTGATAGAATTGTATTATAAATTCTCTATTTTCATGTTGTGTTAAAGTTTAGTTACTTATTGATCACCCATGAGTGTGACCATTTTCGTTCTTTTTGCTCATCTCATCTTCCTTTGTCTGCAGCAGATGTGATGTTACGTTTGAAAGTCCCAAGGACAGCAACTTTGAGTCTCACCCAGCACAGCTTCCTGGGAAGGTGGAGAATATCGACGCTGCTGTCAGTGATCCAGCTGTCATGATTGGACGAGACGCAGGGGTTACACCTCCTCTACCTGTTACCAACCAATCAATGAAAGGTAAGACTCCCAGTGCAGGACAAAATACAATTTCTTAGCTCACATTCTGTGTATATATAAATGGTATCTGTTTTAAACTTTCTCCATGCTAAATGTGTCTATAGGGTCTGTATTGATCCCTCTGTGTGTGAGGAGTGTATCTGGGGTTTGTATTAGGGTCTGTATTAATCTCTGTGTGTGAGAAGTGTCTCTGGGGTCTGTATGAGGGTCTGTATTAATCTCTCTGTGTGAGGAGTGTCTCTAGAGTTTGTATTAGGGTCTGTATTAATCTGTGTGTGAGGAGTGTCTCTGGGGTCTGTATTAATCTCTCTGTGTGAGGAGTGTTTCTGGGGTCTGTATTAATCTCTCTGTGTGAGGAGTGTTTCTGGGGTCTGTATTAATCTCTTATCTAGGTGTGACTCTCATTGTTTCTCTTCTTCCAGCGAAGCTCGCCCGTCTCTCCCTCTCCCTGCCCCCTCTTGCTCTCTCTCTCCCTGTCTCACCCAACCCCTGCAGAGGATTCTGGGAAGGGGCTGAAGAAGGGGTCAGGGTAGGTCGCCGAGGGAGAGGAAGTGACCCAGATGAGGAGGAGGAGGAGGAAGAGGACGAGGAGGGGGCGGGGCGGGTGATCGTTGTCACGGAGACAGATGTGGAGAGGCGGCTGGGCCTGCGCAGTCTGCTGAAGTCTCCTCGTGAGCCGATGGAGAGAGAGAGGGAGGGCGAGAGAGACAGATCACGCAATGTGTCCTTCTTTGATGATGTCACCATTTATCTCTTTGATCAGGTCCGTTTGTCTGTGTGTCCATCAGTACTGTCAGTCTGTGTCCATCAGTACTGTCACTGTGTGACTGTCAGTCTGTGTCCGTCAGTACTGTCAGTCTGTCCATCAGTACTGTCAGTCTGTGTCCATCATTACTGTCAGTGTGTGACTGTCTGTGTGTGTCCATCAGTACTGTCAGTGTGTGTGCCACTGTATGTTTTCTCTGCTTGTGTATCCCATTGTGTGTGGAAACACTGGGCGAGTCTGATGGAGTCTCACACTCTGTTCTCCTCCCTCCCTGCAGGAAACGCCTACAAATGAGCTCAGCTCTGGCTCTGCCCCCACCAGCCCCACCCCTTCCTGTGATGTCACAGGAGACCCCGCCTCCAGGACACAGGAACTGGGTTGGTCCTGTTACGTTAGTAACCTGCCCTGAACACCTTGTGTCTCATTAATAACTAGATGAGTATATGATCCTGGCCTGGACTATAGATACTGTACTCTCTACGTGTGGTAATTTATTGTATATCAGTGTACTGGTTATTATATGGTATCCGTGTGTCAATTAAGGACTACAGTTTCAATGTAGATGAATAGTCCTATTACAGCAGGAGCTGCAGTAATTGTGTATTGCAACAGCAGGGAAACAGGTAGATTATTTTGCTCCATGCTGAGAGGAAAGGGGGACTCTTCAGGCACAGGATTCCTCAGGGAGGAGAAGTTGTTTGCTTTGCAGAATCCACTGCTGTTATTCCCCTCCTGTCCACTAGGTGTCGGAGGCGCCAGAGAGGACCCTGTGATCGGCGTCGGGGGGGCGGAGTCCAGGCTGCCGGCGCTGCCGTCCCGGTTCACTGTTAGCCCCGCCCATGACCCCCATTTAGTCTGAGCGTCCGAGTGCCCGCCCCCCCGCCGGCCACGCCCGCTCGTGCCCCGGTCCCTCTCCTCCCGACCTCTGACCTCTGACCTCCGGGAGGGCGGTGTTACCTCTGAGGCCCCGGGTTCGAGCCCCTGGGGCAGGAGCTGTGGAGGAGCGTGGGGGGTCGGTGTCGGAAGAGGTCGATGATCAAAAGCAGTTTTATTTATTTGTCGGAGGGTCACGTCTGTCGGCACCGGACCGCTTTAGTGCTGCAGGCCGAAGAGTTAGGGTTCTGTCGGGCCCATGTCTGTGCCTGTACTGGTACTAGAACTGGGTTCTACTGGACCTGCACAGCTGGACTAATAACTCAATATGAAGAACAGGTCTGGGAGAGGAGATCACGGCATATTTCTAATATTTACTTTCTTGGTCTTAATAAACCATTTTTTACAATCGTTGTTGCTGAGATGTCTACTGACGCTGTCTGTGTTTGTGTCTTGTTTCTCCTCTGTTTGTTGATTAATGTCAATTAACTTGCGTTGTTTAACGAGCTGGTTTCAAAATATATTGTACAAATTAAAAGATCGGAACTGTGACACATTTAATGAAGTTTGATTAAAATAAATTGTACTGTCTTCTATTAAAACATCTCTAGACTCTCATTTATGTTCTTAGACTCAGTGTCCTGTACAATAGGAGCTACAGTCCCAGTGCAGTAGAACAGTCTGTTACAATAAGAGCTTCAGTCCCAGTACAGTAGAACAGTCCTGTTACAATAGGAGCTACAGTCCCAGTACAGTAGAGCAGTCCTGCTACAATAGGAGCTACAGTCCCAGTACAGTAGAGCAGTCCTGTTACAGTAGGAGCTACAGTCCCAGT